AATAATAGACTTTCTTTCGTACAGCAGTTTTGGGCTTACAGGAAACTTGTTTAGTAGAGAGCTCCGGCAGAGTGCCTCCCACTCCTGCCCAGTGTCTCCTGTTATTAACCTCTTGCATTCCTGTGGTACCTTCGTCACAGTTGATGAACCAGTACTGACACATTATTATTAACTAAAATCATAATTCACACACAGTAGGGCTCACCCCTTTGTTGGATCGTTCGACAGGTTTTGACAAATGCGTAATGTCACGCATCCACCATCAGGACATCACGTGGAATCGCTGCACTGACCCTGGGCGTCACATGTTCACCCCTCCGCTGTCGACCTGATCCCCTGGCAACTGCGCATGTTTTCTATCTTTAGTTTTGTCTGTTCTAGAATGCCATGTGGTTTGGACATACAGTATGTAGCTTCTCCAGCCTGGCTTCTTCACTTAGCAACATGCATGTGCGGTTCTCTCCGTGTCTTCGTAGCTTGACAGCTCATTCTTTTTATCCCTGAATAGCACTCCATTATACAGATGCACCAGTTTGTTTATGCATTTACCTATCAAAGGACACACTGGTTGCTTCCAAGATTAGGCAATGATGAATAAGTTTCCTATAAACCCTTGTGTGAAGGTTTTGGAGAGGACACAGTTATCAATTCATTTGGGCAAATTCCTAAAAGCATGAATGCTGGATCACATGGTAAGACCATGTGTAGGTGGGTAAGAAACTGCCAAACTGTCTTCAGAGTGGCTGGACCATTTTGCATTCCCACCACAATGGATGGGGTTTCTTCCAACATCATCATCAACATTTGGTATTGTCAGTGTTTTGGATTTTGCCATTCTAAACGCGTGTACTGGAATTTCATTGTTGTTTTAATTTGCAATTCTCTAATAACATATGGCATTGAACATCATATATTAGCATATAATGTTGAACAAATGCTCATTCGCCATCTGTGTGTCACCTTTGGTGGGGTGTCTGAAGTAGTTCTTCAGATATTTTGCCCATTTTTATTGGGCTGTTTGTTTAAATAATGCTGAGTTTTATGAGTTGTTATGTATTGAATTGCATCCCCCAAAATATGTTGGAAATCCTAAGCTCCATGCACATGGCTATAATCTCATTTGGGAACGAGTTTTCTGCTGTATTAATAATGAGGCAGTATGGGAAGTATGGGTGTAGGGTACACATTGAGTCAACCACTTTTGAGATATAAAAGGAAAAGATTAAACATGCGGAGATGGGGGAGGAGAGGTGCCAAGCCACACGCAGGTCATCCAAGAGCAGAAGCTCAAAAGGATAAGGACCTTCCTCCAGAGTCAACAGAGAGAGAAGGCCATCCTCTCCAGGTGCCACCAGGTGATCGGACTTCTGGCCTCCTAAACCATGAGAAAATACATTTCTGTTTGTTAGATACAACCATCTGTGGCATTTCTGTCAGGACAGCACCAGGTAACTAAGACAAGGGTTCTGTGTGTAACTTAGATACAAGTCTATTATTACACAAATGTTTGCAAGCATATTCTCCAAAGCTGTGGTTTCTTTTTTCACTTTCATCATATACAATAAACTTTTAATGAGTCCACAGAACATCTATAATCCACATAAAGAAAGCGTTTTATTATACTAGATGGTTATAACTTAATTAATACTCACATTATAGTACAAAAAAGAACTGAGTAATACATTCAAAATGCCAAGAGTTATGGGTAGTATCCTACATTCTAAAATAAACTTCTCACGTGATAGACTGTTCAACAAATGGTTAATAAGGGTACACTTCCTCTGCAAGGAGAGTTACTACCTCTGAGCTGCTGTTACCACATACCAACTAACACAGAGGATAAAATAATCGTAAATGTAAAGGGCTGTGCCTACGTCAGGAGCCTGGTGGCACACTGGGTCGGTAGGTCCTCCACTGCTAACTACAGGGTCAGTGGTTCTAACCCACCAGCCACTCTGCAAGAGAAAGATGTGGCAGCCTTGGAAACCTATGGGGCACCTCTACTCTGTCCTATAGAGTCGCTAGGAGTGGAAACCAACTGGACAGCAATGAGTTTGTGTTTTCTGTGCCTACATGTCACACAGGGAGCCTTGGTAGCATAGTGCCTAAGGCACTTGACTGCTAACCAGAAGGCTGGCGGTTCAAACCCACCAGCCACTCCTCGGAAGGAAGGCTGGGCAATCTACTCCCGTAGTGATACTGCCTCGGAAACCCAAGGAGGGGTCGCGATAAGTCGGGTCTGACTCGATGCCACATAACAACAACAACAACATGTCACACTGTCATTATTCCTTCAAAGAGGCAATTAATGAAAAATGTTATTCCAAATGTACTCTAAATTATGTTATCAAAACCTATGATCTCTTACAGTTTTCTACATGTAAAGAGAGGTTTTAGAACAGAAGAGCTAAAAGTCAGTGGCTAAAGTGAAGAAAAAGGGAAAAATTATCTTTCAATTCTTACGCTTTATCATACCATATAGTCCATGGCATAGCTTTCCTAAATGGAAGGATAAGGAAATAAGCATTGATTCATCTGCTTTGAAAGATTTTTCACAAAATGACTTCACTAAGGGAAGTATAGTCTGACTTCTGTCATCTGGAAAACAAAACAAAATAAAGTATGCTTTAGATCCAGCTGTCCGTACTGCACACGTGGGAATTAACACATACACACAAATGCCAAAATGAGAAAACAGTACGTTAGTCTCATAACAGTAGAATATATTTGAAAACAATGATGATGGAGGAGGGTGGTGAAGAAAGTGATGAGAGGATGGTGGGAATTATCAAAAACTGTAATGTCACGCTGAAGGGTCTGGACTATATGCTGTGGGTGACAGTGGGCAGAATGCAAAGAATAATCAAAATGATCAAGTGGCTGTGACTGAGGTTCTGAGTCCGCGTGACTGACAGAATCCTACCACGGTTGACAAAGATAGATGGGTGGCAGGCACGGGAGCTGCTTCTTCTCAGTTACCTACATCTCACCCCGTGCTGCAGTGTAAGCCCATCACATCATGTCATTTGGGGTTGAAATTAAGTGAGATGATAATATGCTCTGTGTACTGAATTTCCTCACTTCTCCTTCTTAGATGCCTCTTCTCTAAAAAGTTAGTCAATTCTTTGAGTCTGCTGAGGTAAAAAATTTCTGATCTATTAATGATATCTAAATCCTTTCCAATTCACCCACATTTCTTTTAAACTTTGAGAAATGAACCACTACTTCATTAAAGCTCTGGCAATACTAAGTAAAATTCTGTAATACATTGATTAATATCTTGTTATTATGGTTATCATCACATTTTGGTACCCTATCTACTAAATAATAATGTCCATTCAACATTTATTGAATTCCTTACACAGCAAGCATTATACTAAGTAGCAGAAGGAGGAAGATGAATGAAGTCCTTTAACCTTGAGAAACTCAGACCAGCAAGGAAGTCAAACAGAAAGTACCCTAAGACAATGCGATCATTGCTTTAATTGTGCTGATTCTCAGAAGCTGATCACTAGGCCTTTCTCCCAAGGACAGCCAGAGATAATACAGACACAGATGGGCATGAGTGTGCGCCAATAAAACTTTATTTACAAAAACACACGGTGGGATGGAGTCGGCCTAAACCCAGTATAAGATATTTGGCAAAGTGCCAAAGAGTAAACGTTATTTAAATTGGGCACTGAAGGAGAAGAAGGATTGGGCCAGGGGAAAAGGTGGGGGATGGGAACAATACAGAGAGGAAAGAGTGTGAGAGGCAAGGCCAGAGCTGTGGAAGAATGTGGTTTGCTCAGATAACGGCTAGTGTGCAGGGGCATAAGACACAAGGAAGAGCAAACAGTGAAGCCAACAACACACTTTAGCCCACATCTGTGAAAACAGAGCGTGGGTCAGTGAGGGAGAAGAAACTGAAGATGACGCCAAAGTTTGAGTCTGAATGCCTGAAGGCACTACCGAGGACGAGGAGACCATTCATTCACTTATGTATTCCAGCTTTTAGTCTTCTGTTTCATCATGGTGTCTAAATGATTGCTCTGTAACATTCATACATCATTACTGTCCACCTTGCAGTAATCTTAAGAGGCTCTCACTCTAGTTCAGAACAGACACTGATAATTTAAGTAAATATAATCCTAGAATTACACAACTGAGTTTTGCACCTAAGTGTTCGACATTTACCCGTCCACATGTCACCTTATCAAAATGGTGAATGTCCACTGATAAACTAATGTCTAGCATTAGTCCAGGGTCTGGTCACACATTAGGTGGAGCAGCTAATTGTCTTTGTGATTGGATTTGTACATTAAGAAATACTTCCTTACCCATCCCCACACAGATACACCATCCCAACTTCTCCCCTCTCCTCCAAAAGCCATGATTTTTCTACCATTAAAATCATTATTAAAGAGAGGAAACTCATTTAGATATTGTTGGGGTCAGGGTTTACCTTCAAACAATTAACTGAGCAAGTGAAAGGCAAATGACCAAGCCAAATTCTTGGTCCTATGCACAAGGGAGTTAAGGAGAGACAAGAGAGAGGTATGGAACTGCAGCAAATGCAGATGCCATGAGTGTAAAGGTGGCAGCAGAGAAGGTACCAAAAGAGAAAGGGTCGTGAGGACAGAGAAAGGAGGGATGCTTGACACTCATCATAAAAGGTAACTTAATAATGGTACCTTTCACGTATGGGACACAACACATGGGAAAGCACTGCTTTCAGAAGGAAAGATGTAGCCACATGAAGACTTACCTGTGTCAAATATGTCAAGCAGATTAACCAAAGTTTCAAATGCTGCAAGCCGCACGCTACTGCCTTCATCACTAGAGAGTTCTATCAATTCGGGGAGCACCACACTTTTTGTAAGTTCTGTCCTGCACAATAAGCAATAGAGGAAAATAAATCAAACCAACACATTTGCAGAAAGACCCCACTGTGAACAAGTCTCTGGGCTGAGTGCTATAAAAATAGGAAAAGTCATAAAGATATTGCTTCTGCCTCTAGAAGCTTCCAACCTGGCTGGAAAAACATGGTATAA